GTATTGTATGGATGACAATGTCGATCTCCTATTGGATGGTTCGAGATAGGAAAAGCTAGGCTTCTCAAACTAGACATGGTTCAAAATGTTATAGAGAAGGTACGATTGATTAAGGAGAGGTTGCTGGTAGCGCAAAACTGGCAAAAGGCATATGTTAGCCACCTGCGTTAAGAGTTGTAATTCACGATTGGCGATCATGTATTTCTTTTAGTGTCACCAATGAAAGGTGTAATGAGATTTGGCAGAAGAGAAAAGCTTAGCCCATGATACATAAGCCCATTTGAGATACTTGAACAAGTCAATGTAGTGGCTTATCGTTTGACACTTCCACCTGAATTGTTGATGGTACATTCTGCCTTTCACATATCTATGCTGCGCAAATATGTGCCTGATATGTCTCATGTGCTTGCTCGACAAGATGCCTAGCTAGATGCTGATTTGACTTATGTGGAAGAACTAGTGCCTATAGTAGACAATCAAGTAAGGAAATTACGAACAAAAGAGATAGCTTCTGTAAAGGTAATATGGAAAAATCACTCTGGGACTGAAGCCACATGGGAACTCGAGGAAGCAATGTGCAAGAAATATCCACATTTATTCGTAGAAAAAGGTTAGTCTTTTTCTAAAATTCGGGGATCAAATCTTGTTTAAGAGGGTAAAAATGTCATGCCCCAATTAATATATATATATATATAATAAAAGAGATAAGAGACCAAATTAAAAGAATTAAAAATTTTCAAGGACTAAATTAAATGAATTGAGATTTACAAGACTTAAACTAAATATGTAACAAACTAGGGGGGACCAAAAGGTAAATAGGGAATAACTTAATTACCTTTACATTTATATAATCGTAAAGCTTCTTCCATTTCTGCCATTAACAATGTGCAGCGTGAGGAAAGGCTAAGGTGGCTGAGGCTCTTGCTCAAGCCTTGCCAAATCACCCATTCGAGCGCCACGCCTTCTTTGGATGCTTGATTGGACAATAATAGAACCAACGTGCTAGAACGGTGCCTAGAAGAAGCAAGCCAGTCAAAGCAATTACGTGTCTATTATGTAAATGCAAATCGCCTCTTCTTTCGAGCTTCTCTGGTGAGATCTTCTACCTTCTTCTCTCTAATCTCTGTTTGTGCTTCTTCCTTACCTCTTCTCTCACCTGGCAGTACCGATTGCTTCCTTTTTACTGTGCTCCTTGATATATAAGTATATATATGTATACACACTACACATATGTATATATAATTGAGCTCTACCCCTCTATATACTAATTATGAGTAAGATTATAGCCCTTTATCTTGTATTTCTCTTTGTATTATTGATCTTGCAATAATAGCTATTATGAAGAGGTTGAGGGCAGGTGTGGGTCGGATGCAACATTGGGCACATGACCCCTTGCTGAGCTGAACCCATTATAGCCAATAGTACATAACTCCTTTGCTGTGCCAAGCTTGATGAAGCCAACATTGAAATCCTCTAATCAATATTCATCAACGGTATTTCTATATTATACCTGATTGAGTCATTAGAAAACCCATTGGCTTGGTCGGATCTTGCTTTACCATCTCTCTCCAAGTGGAATAGAGGTGGTAGTAGACTTACAAATTTACATTTTTGTTTTTATTTTTTGGTTGTTTGGGCTAGGGGAAGAGTTATTGTATCAATTAGATTGATAGTGGATCTTCCCATTGAGCTAATTAACCACAGAGATGGTGGGTATATAGTTACAATAAATCAACCCCTCAGAGTTACTATTGTGTTTGTAGTAACGGTAGACAATTCCTATTTGAAGGCACATCTGATTATCTATTTATATGGGTATCTCTTAACCCATAAGGGGTAGTGGATAATTAGTGCCAAATACTTATTTTCCCTCAAGATTATAGATATATATATTGAGTAGCACTTGACACAAAATAAAACAATAATAATAAAAATAATAATAAAATAAAAATAGTTGAGTAAATAACGTTATATAAAATTGATGGGGAATTTAATCCCATTCTGACTTTAGGAACTTAAAAATTAAAAATGCCAATTTGGAAGATACATCACACACAAGATTTAGCTCACATTGACTCTATTAGTATCAGTGTTACTGATAATACTTGTTCTTTACATATATTTTCTTTAAGTTTATTATGAATAATTACTTATGTAATTGCAAATTTCTAATTTTTTTATATTGTTTACAGCATACTTATAAATATTCATTACGTGAAAAATAAAACTGGAACAAGTATTGAAATTAAACTTGTGTTATGGTAAATGATTACCAAATGTTCATGAATTGAAAATTTTGAATTAAAATTTCTGTCCACATGGTATGTGTGAAAATATGCTACTTACACTCATGGCGGAAAATAATTGATATTATACCCATGGCGAGTGATATTATGATTTATACTTGTATACCCATGGTGGGTGATGATTTGATATATACCCATGGCGGTGATGATTTGACATAAATACCCATGGAGGGTATTAAGATACTATTTATATACCCATGTTGGGTGACGAGATGACATTTATACTTATGGCGGGTGATGTTATGATTTATACTTGTATACCCAAGGTGGGTAATTGTATAATATGTATATATACCCATGGCGGGTTTTGAGTTGACAAATGAGCATATGGTGGGCAACAATGTGATAAAAATACCCTTGGAATGTTATGGTTTGATCTATATACACCCATGGTGAGTGATGGTGGACACATATAATTGATACAATCCCAACCCATGGTGGGTATTGGTAACAAACATAGCTTCACGAAATATAACTTTCATACTACTTGTGGACATATTTGTGGATATGTCGCACTTGTTCAATTTAATTTTTTTTAAAGAATTGCAAAGTTATATTTGACTTTATAAAAATTTATTTTATGCAAATGCTTGTTCCACATGTTTAGAATAAGTATTATCTCTCACTGAGTTATGAAAACTCACCCTTTATTTAACATTTTCAGGTTCTAGTGCAGACTCTCAGTTGGATTCTACAAATTGATTTACAGGCATTATTGGGTGAGTCCAGCATTGATTTGGGACATAGTAAAGATTTGATTGATCTAATTGTTATTTATTTTTGTCTTAGTTGCTCCTGAACCCATAGATACGATCCAGAAATGCTTAAAAATTTCCTATTGTAATAAGTAGATTTTGAGACATTTATATTTGTTATAATTGCCTGTTAATTATTGTTGAGAGAAATTTGGAATATTACATACGGGTTATAGATTTGGGAAATGTCCAATTTTTAAGAAAAACTCTGCCAATTTTTTAAAAAAATTTTAACACTTAGAATAATTCTAATAAATTTAAGGCTAGCTAGGAGTGAAAATTCCATTTCTAGTGCCAGTCATGGCATTGCGTTTCGGTCGTGACAGATGAGTAGGTGAAGATTGAGAGAGTATTTAAGGCAAAATTAGCTATTTTAGAAGTCGTTCTTACTTGATCTGTATGATTTAGTTAATTGGATCGAAGGACTAGTCGACTGCTTTTCTCAAATTTTCAAATTTCAAATTGAATTTCTTGTGTATTAAGCACCTAAATAGTAATTTAATCACCAATACAAAACCATTAGTCAAGTGATTAACAGTATTTAGTCAATTATTTGAGTTCCCCCAATGCAGCTCTCAAAGAATTTAGTTCTGTAGTTTATCACTTAGACAACTAGTTTATGAAGTCCAATCAACTAGCTATTAAGGGTTCTATAAGACTTCTTCTACTCCATGACTTAAAGCTAATTGCCTATGTTCAAGGATTTAATTGACTGTTCCTTAATTCAGTCCAACAGACTTGATTCCTTGACACTACTTTCCAAAAATATTTGATTTCGAATTTGTCATAAAAATGTTTTTAAGATTATTTTGAGCTGAAGTAACTTAGAAATATCACATCTTATTGCATTAAAAATTCTAATCAAAAACTTATTTTAATCTTTAAGGCCAAATTAATTATTAAAATCTGAAATTACTCAAGGTAAACATCTTTAGTTAGTAGTAGTCAAAATTCCTTGACTAGAACCTTGGGGCTAAGACCTATTGCTTTTAAGATCTCCGAACATCTGATCTTTTTAACTCCTTCACTTGAACTGTCCACTTAAGTTCTTGTATTTCCTTAGGCATTAAGTCTATAGATCTTCTCAAAATTCTTTGGGGAGCTTCTTACACCTATCCATCTATTCTTCATCTCACGATTGTAAATCTTTCCTTTTAAATACCACTAAGTATGTAACTATTTGTACCTTATTCAAAGTGAGATATCATCTATTTTGTCTGAAAATTTCACTACACTACAACAAAAAATACCTTTAGTAGCAATTAATTAGAAACAATTAAATAATTATCATTAATTTGTATAAAACTGTATTATTCAATGGCAATTATATGATTGGCCATTATTTTTTTTTCTAATAGCAATTATAACTAGTGGTCATTAAAAGTCATATAATTATCAAATTATAAAGGATGAAGGTTTATTTAATTTTCCTCCTAATTTTAAATCAGTATATAAAAAAGAAAATATAAGAATTTACTTTTTAAATATTATTATCACTCTCTCCAAGTTAGTCATGTGCTTGGACTAACAACTCTTTCACGGCAACTATTGCACTTTGAAAATTAATTGTCAATTAAAATCTAGACAATCTCTCCTTTTACTCTTTCGAGAGCAGTGTGAAAAGTTCCCAGTGTGTGTGTGTGTATACATATCAAGCCGATCCCGCAAGAATTAAATCTCGCTCCTTGAATTCCTTCTTAGCGATACAGAGCTAATACTCTCCAGCAGCAATAGAGGTTTCTATTACAAGTACGAATTAAGAACTTAGCAACTCAGATTGCGTTATCATAGGATTAATGCCAAATCACCGAGTTAGATCTGCGTTTGCTTGGTTGTTTTGTGCAGCCATTTGCGAAGCAGAGCTAGGGCGTGAAGAATGGAGAGTTTGAGAGAGATTTTGAGGCATCCTGATGACTTCTACGCTTTGCTAAAGTTGAAGATGGAGGTGAAGCACCTGGAGAAGCAGGTTTTGCCGAAGCATTACTAGCGGTTCTGTTACAACATGCTTCAGAAGGTGTCTCGTAGCTTCGCCCTCTTGATTCAGCAGCTTGGCACTGATTTTTCGCAACGCAATAAGACACACATACTCGTTGTTCATTTCTTGTAGCTTTTCTATTTTTAAAAAAATAAATTATACATATTGACATTTGGATTATATTTTAATATACACGTTTCTTAAAAATATAGCGAGAGAGTAAAAGTCATTGAATGATACAAAAATGTGAAATTAAATTTGAACTATCAACTGGATCTGGTTAATGTCAGATGGGGCTTGTACTTTAGTTATTGTAGGTTTTCAGCTTCAACATGTGTGTATTTATGCAGGTATTGGAAATTAGTCTTGTTACTTTTCCTAATGTTGCGGATGCAATTTTAGCAAATGGAATGTTTAGTCATTATGAGCATCCTCGCATTACTCAACTTTGTGAAAAAGCTAGTTTTTACATGTGACTCTGCAGGTAAAAAAAATGACTTTAAGTAATTTCAATATTTTTATAATGGAGTTCTATCCACAGTATTGTAATATTTACCTTTTTTGCTGCAGCACTGCCCTGAACTACCAGATATTAAACGTGTAATTGTGAATACTCATGCAATAGAGCCATAGGTTTATGTTCTCCACCGCTATTTTCTTTTTGCATGTTGGTGAATTATAAAGCCTGTAATCAGGATTTCATTCATTATAGGCTCTTGTAGAGTTCTTTGGTACTCTGTCTCGTAAGTGGGCATTAGGATGCATGAAGGACCTTCTGTTAGTGACTCTAAGAGGAAACCTCCAGATAATTGTTCAGATACCTATTTCTGTTTGGTTGAGCACAATACGCTTTGTATTTATATATATTTTCTCAGAAATTTGTAATCTGTGAGTCCACAGGTTGCCAAGGAGTATTCTGAGCAGTTGGGAGTTGATGCATGTATTAAACTCTTTGAGCAATTCAAGTCAAATGAAGTGTTATACTTCCTCCTGGGTTCCCATTTGAGCTCCAAGTAATCCAATTAGAAAATAAGGCACTCACTTTTGCTTGTTACGAGGTACTATTGTTTGTGAATGTTATATACTGAGCTTTTTTCTTTGTTTCTAGTTACAGTGAGGATCCTCAGATTCACTTTAGGTACATTGAGGTAGCTACCAAAACTGGACAAATCAAGGAGGTTGAGCGTGTGACTAGAGAATCAAACATCTATGATCCTGAAGATTATGCTACTAAACTTTTTTGGCTTTCTCTGGAGAGGTAAACCCAAGAAATGCTCCTTTAGTCGTTGGGCAGCTGTTGGGGATTTCATGATTCAGTCCCATGTTCTTAATTGTTCTTATTAGAACAATTGTTTTGTTTACTTTTATTTTTTATATTCATGTGATGCATAATATGCTGAATCTAGTAAAGTTGCTACTGTAACCTTACATCTTAAGATGCTTCCTAGTTTTTATGCAATTTGCTTCAGTGTTTCAGTTGGTTGTTGTTTAAGCAAGGGGTATTGGTTGTGATTTAATCTACCAATTTTTGATCATGTTTCTTCAAGTAGTCTAGTTGCCTTTTCCTTCACCAGATTATGGAAAATAGGGACTAAACTGAATGTTGGTGCAAGTTCAAGTAGCATATTTGAAACATTGCAGTTGGGGAAGCCATTAATTGTGGTGGTGAATGAGGATTTGATGGACAATCATCAAAGTGAGTTAGCAAAAAAATTAGCAGAAAGGAAGCACTTGTTTTGTGCCTGTCCTCAGATACTCTACAACACTATCAAGGATATGAGTTTGGAGATTCACATCTTTTTGCAAATTAATATTTTGTGAGCTGTACGTATAACAAGACATTAACTAAATGGAATTTCCCTACTTTTAGTGATAGGGATTTAAATTTTGTATTTTTTTAGTTGTACTTTGAAATAATTTCTTTAATTCTTCATGTATTTTGTTTCTAGTCATAACAAATTATGTTTGTAATTTTGATTGGTACTTTTGTAATATTCCTTCTGGGTATAATATATTCAAACATTTCTTTATATATCTTTATTCTTAATTGATTGATATGTTTATAATATTTTTTGTATTTTTTAAGTATTTTATAATGATTATTATATTGTTGAGTAGGGAACTATTAGTGGCAATAATTATTATTATTATAAAAAAAATTGTAGTAGCAACAATTATTATTATAAATTGAAACTTGCAACAGTAATAATAATTGTCAATATATAATTGTTATTATGAATTAGGGTTTTTAGCAGCACTAGCAGTTATTATTATAAATTAAAATTTGTAATAATAATAATAATAATTGTTGATATATAATGGCTGTTATAAACTAAAGTTTTTTGTGATAATAAATAAGATATTTACTAGCAAAAGTATAATTGCTGTTATAACATTTTAATGACACTGGATACAGGGACAACAATTTAATTACTGGTAAAGTTTTTACCAGCAATAAAAATTGCCACTAATGTATATTATAATTGTCACTTAAAATGTTATTTGTTGTAATGCTATATTGTCAAAACTACAGCATGTCACTATGACAAATTTTGATAACTTATTATATTACGCAACAATTTTTCCTTCCATTTTGATGTAGAATTCATTCATATCCCATTCATCCTAAAAATTTATCAGAAATTACTCCTTTATCATGCACTCGTAACCTTAACAATCCATTTCTCGCCCTTACAGGATCCCAAAAATTACACAAAATACAAGATCTCAATTCCTATTCCTGTCGTCTTAAAAATATGTCTGAAATTACTCCTTAATTAACTTCTCTTAACCTTAACAATTCACTTCCCACCTATGGGCTCCAAACATTGCATATTAAATCTTCGTTACCACTTATAGCTGCTCACGTAGCACCACCATCCTAGCTAGGGCTATCAATAGGTTGGATTTTAATCTGAATTCGATCCGAATCTGATCTAAATTTTAGGCCGTTTAACTAATTAAAATGTCCGATGGATTAAATCTGATTATAAATATCCGTAATCTGAAATAAGTGGACCGAATATGGAATTAAGCAATTCGATCCGTTTAAAATCCGAATCCGAATATTTTAATAATAATTTTTATTTAATTAATAATTATATATTAATAAATACTTTTATATATAATATAATATATATGACATTATAATTAATAATGCACTAATTTGTATTTGTGAGATATTTTATTTAATAGAATAATGTATATTTTTTCTAAATTATTTTATAATATTCTTCTACTTTTCTTAATTTTAGTTTTTCTAGTAGGTATTATTTTAAATAATTAATTACTTTTGAAATTTCATGAAACACTTAAATAAATTGATTATAAAATTTTCTAAGTTCTAACTATAATACAAATAAAACTTGATAATTTTATAAAGTATTGGAATCCTATCATTACTTTTGTAATATATTATATAACAAAAGTTCTTCTTTATCATTCATAAATAACAATTTATTTGTTAATTTTATTTATATTTTAATAAAAAAAAAATTATTAAACATAAATCTTACATGAATTTTTATCATTCATATATAATAATTTATTTGATTTTACATATCTTTTACTTATTGATTATTTGATTTTAATTATTATTAACAGTTATTCGGATCGAATTTTTTTCGGGTTTCGGATTTTTATCGGATTCAGATTCGGTAATAACAAGTAGAAATCCTATAGAATTTTGGGTCAGATTCGGATATATACATTGATAATCGGATTCGGATTCGGATCAGCTTGATTTGATTCAAATCTGATCCGTTTACATACTTAATCCTATCCCCTCACAAAAAAAGTACAAACCCAATGGGCCATGATGGATCGTGCCCTAAAAGCTACATTTGCACTGCTTCCTCCTATGTTTTGACTTACATCTAGAGCATCCCACACCTTCTAGATTGTTTCTATTCGACGGTCAAGAATTAATCACAATAATAGGTTCTATTAACGTCATAACTTATTATGAGAGTTTCATTGATGATGGCAAAATAAAAATCAAATCAAAACACTTTATTTGGTCAAAGTTGTGTCAGGTCATCTTAAACCATTCCAAAAATGATAAGAGAAAGTTTTATAAAATTGTTTTCAAAAATCAATTTTCTTTTTTGTACACAAGTCTTTGATAATCAATCTACGAAAGACTAGTTTAATAGAAACTAGTTTCCTGAAGAATTTAATAAAAATGGTCTGGAAAGCAAAAAGGCCCTTCTTTTGACAAAATAATATTCCCAGAAGGTTTGATTATATTTAAAGAAGGTATTAGACACCCCAATTGTACAAATACTACATTGGTATCATTTTTTGTTCAAGTGACTTCCACCATTATAAGTTTTGATTTGACAGGAAATATTCCCTTTGTGCAAGTGTGCCATGTGCTAAACAACGACCTTTAGAGAAAGAGTGCTGGAAAAATTAATAGAAAAAAAGAATTGAAAGAAAATGCTTGAGATAGAAGTTTCATTTAGGTATGAAGAGCAGGTTATGGTTTGTTTCATAGCTAAAACATATCTAATTTCTTTGGAAATGTATTAAATAAACAAAGGTATATCTTTAACTGAATTTAAGACTTAACACTTGTAAGATTTATCTAAAAGTCATGAGCTCAAATACTAACCTTCTCCCTTCCCCTCTTCCCTAACTTAGACTTAGATTTCTAATATAGATTATAAAAATAAAATAAAATAAAATAAAAAAATTATGGCCGCGTCGCACTAGGAAGAACAAATTATAGTGGTCACTTTGTTCATGGGTCAATATGCCAAATCCTATATATATATATATATATATATATATCCATTATTAAACCAAGTGCTTCACATGAAACATCATACATAACAGCATTGGTCACATTTATTTAGCTTAATAGATTGGTTGTGCTTATTCTGTAAGTGCTCCAAGTCAGCTAGATCTACTTGGGTGCATGAGATACTTATTTGACGAATGCATGATGAATTCTTAAACCCCCCTTCCGCATGCCACTCCAAATTTCATTAAGTCCAAAGTCAATTTTTTTGGAATCATCGTCACTAGGGTCGGAGGCTGCTTCAACCACCAATTTGTCAATTGAGTTCGAATCTGGATCAGTCACTAGGGTCGGAGGCTGCTTCAACCACTAATTTGTCAGTTGAATTCGAGCCTGGATCATCTGGAATAAAGAATTGCACATCTGGCCCTTATTTTTTCCCAAGTATACTTTTTTGAAAACAAATCTTGATTACGCTTCCCTCTCTTAGCTCTAACATATATTGGATTATTCCAACCAAATGCATCCGGTGACAATAATACACAAAACCCTACTTCATAACTCTTTGATGCTTCTCTTTCCACAGACTTACTCACATCTAGCCAACACACTTGTAACAATTCGGCTGGTTTTTCCTGCATGCAAAGTTCAGTGTTAGTTATATATATATATTCATACATTTTTATGCATTCAAATAGTTTCTTCTTGCCATTCAAACATCTATATATACTATATATTCTAAAAGAATAGTGTATAACAACAACAAGAAGAGGTTATTTAATTATCTCGTGTGCCATCATTTACAATTTTTATAGTCAAAATATAGCCCTTGTATCTTTTTTATACTAGTATTTCTTCAAAAGATCATTTTTGTTTTCCAAAAACCAATAAATTTTTTTTTTCATCGTACTTCTTTAATGGGTTAAAGCCATCAAAGGCCTTAGAAGTTTGGAACTTGGTTATTGTTCAATTTAGCCCAACAAATTAAAAAAGTGGTTCAATTTAGTCCTTAATGTCTAATTGTTTGTTCACTTCAGGCCATTTTGTCTACTAAAAAGGGGACAAGCCAAGACACCGAACGGGGAAGGGCAAAAAAAAAAAAGAAAAAAAAAAAGAAAAGAAAAAAGAATAGTCCTAACCATCCCCCACCCTAGGGTCACCATGAACGTCAAAATTGCATCATGTATTGGTATTGTCAACTATAGAAGTTAAATACATATCAATCAGACATGCATACAGATAAACCAAGTGGTATATAATAGTTGTAGAGTACACTCATTTGGTTATTTCTTAAAAACACTTTTTTTTTTTTGAAAGTTTAGCCAAACGAATCCTTTATTTGATTAAAACAAATCAATTTTTTCTTGCACCAAAGGGGCTCATATATATTTTGTGTCACTTTGTTTAGAATAGATCCATCGTGCTACACAAGATTTACTCTACTATGAATATTACAAATTTTTTGAAGCTGCAGGGGACAAGTTTATTAGGCGTAAATTTCTCTTGACCTTGTTGTCACTTACTTTCTACTGGCATTGGGTATTGGTTGGAAGAACTTTCAAGTGGAAGAATGTTTGTATATACCTTTAATTGGGTGAAATCCTAGCTACCCTGATAAAAATAAATTTATAAGAGGTCTCTAGGGTGAGATCATTTTGATGGTGGGTGAAATCACCCTCTATTAGGGTTTGATTAGAAAAGAACTATTTATATTCTATAACCAATTTCCTCTAATTTCATAAAGAAATTTTGTTATTACCATCTTATAAACCTAGACAATTTTATTGAATTATGTTAAATCATCTAAATTTATTATTTTTTCCTCTCTATTATTTCATAATTGGTGAGCTTAACAATAACAAAAGTTCAAAGCATAATTTTACCTTCTTTTGTGATATAGCATTTATTTGCGACACGTGTCTAATAATGTCTAAAGCTAAAATGAATTACGGATATTATTGCATAAAAATGAAAAATTAACTAATTAATTAGTGATAGAAAAAATAGATTAAGTGGTAGAATATTTTAAAATTTATTTAAAAGTCATAAATTCAATTTTTAACCCTCTTTTTTTTTCTTACCCCTCAATTTAAGCTTTCAATAATTCAAAAATGAAATTACATGTAAAAAATAAACACCGATTATGTTAAAGAAATGAAGCAGAAAATTGAAATGTTTACTCCTCTTTGGGGACGTTCCAATATTGCCTATCATGCTGCCAAACGATGGAAAGATCTTGGGGTTTGATTTTATCCATGTCCTGCTCAGAACAGAAATAATGAAATGCATACTTTTATATGTATTGATCAAATTACCATCGCATGCATGCGTAGTATTTATATTTACATCCATACCTTGTTCTCCGATGTGCTGGTACTTGGCGTA